ATTAACGTGTGACAGCGACCAGCTTCAGACGGCACAGAGCTCATTATTATTATTATTATTATTATTATTATTATTATTATTATTCAGGATGCACGATAATTATTCTTAATATTGCCATTAAGTAAAAACTATTATGAAGTTCTTTGTAAAAAGACAAAAATGTGCAATAATCAGTTATCTTATTGGTTATCGTGCATCCCTAATGTCTATATATGTATTTATTTATAAGACAAAAACATTACAGTCGACAGTAATGAAACAAATGGACATCTGGAGAAAAAATAATAAAAAAACAATATTAGATATTCCATTGGTATTAGCTCAAATATCAGCGTGTGCAATACCACATTTGCAGGTGGTGTATTATCAATTCATCAAATATTTTCCAAGGCAGGAAATGTGAGAATACTTGAACAGCCGTCTTTGATGAGAGACTTTAACATGGCGAGACTGCGTAAACCGAGAAGCAATTACGGAAGAAAATGTAACTTCTTTTGCAGTTTTCTGGACGCCATTCTTACATTTATGACACGCTGCAGATCAGGAACATGGATTTAGACATAAATGAAAAGATAAATTAATAAAATGCCACCCTGATCATCTAAAGACAAAACGATACCCAATAAGGAAATTATGCTTTTCAGAAAACGTCTGACTGCTCAGCTATGCACCAACTCTATTGGCAAAAGAAATAAACTGAAATGTACTTATATTTACAATCCACTACCTCCCTGACTCTGATGCAAAAGCATGCTGGGTGACTCTGCACCAACAGTTGTAATAATGTGATAAAAATTACCAAAAATGTGGCATTGAATTAGATAAATTTCCTCTTTTACGCCCCACAATATAGAGGTCATAGGCTCGGTGGGTTCAGGATGTTTCATCTACAGCAAAGAAATGCATTTTCCTGAATTAAAAACACCCACTTGTGCAGGACGGACATGTTCCTTTGTTGTGCTGCCACATAAGCCCACAAACAAACGTGACCCAGAACGGACACAGCTTGACCTGGTTTGGCTGCAGGATTTACGTCCTTCACCTGCTGTCTCGTCACAGAGGATTAAACCTCTGTGTGTATTGAGTTTTACTTTTTTTTTGCAAGACGTTTGAGGTTTTGTTCAGAGAAATTGTTAATTTTTTTACTTCTCAGTGGGTTTTAAGGGCATGTGAAGTGATATATGGATGCAGTGGTGTAGTGCACGGTATATAAGCAGTTTTATGGAGTATAGCCACTTCTAAATACCCTCCTATGTGCATCAGTCAGTAGTAGTGTGCCAGATTATTGTTTGTTCCTGGAACAGCGAAGGCATGATATGATAAGATATAATAGTTAACCAATTTCTTACAAGTGGATTGAGGAAGAAAAAAAAAGGAATATTTCACTCAAAATACATCATTTTAAGCCCCAAAGTCTGCGGACCTCCTCTTCTGTGGCTACTGTTAAGTGACAATGTGCAAATATTACTGGTGCTTTTATGAGCTTAACTAAATATGCAGTAGTAGGGGTGTTCATACTTTACTGCACGGCTGATTAGAAAGAAAATTTGGGGCATAAATTAAGAGTATTAAGAGAGGTGAAGCATGTGAAGGTGGGTTTTACGATGCAATTCAAGCACTTTTCCAGGCAATTTATTCCCATTTTTCTAACCTTTTTTTTTAAAATAATTCCCAGATAAGTGGGGGAACTCCCGGATAAAAAAAAAGGCCCAAAACGTGTTCTTACCCGTCCGGGGAGTACTCCAGGTTGAACACCGCTCCGTGGGTCTGAGTGCTCAGGTTCACAGACTCCACAGCCGGATTCATGGAGCTGTACAAACTGGTCATTGTCCTGAAGTTATCCCGAGCCGGGTCCACAAACACCCCCCGTCTTATTGTCCTGCTCTGCAGCCAAGAAAACAAGCTGTTCCCCCTGCGGCCGTCGGTGCAGGGGTCCCCGCCGCTCCCCAGCTCCGGCTGCGGGGCCGGTTTACACCCCGGCTCTCCCTCCTCCGACGCCGGAGACCCTGCACCGCGCTCCGGCCGGTCCACGCTGCGTCCCGGCGGTGGGGGTGACCGTACCGGAGCGATGTCATCCTCCACGTCCGAGTCGTCGATGTCGGGGTCTTCCTCTTTGTCGCTGCCGCTGTTGGGCCTCTCCTGCGACCCGTCGGCGTCCTCGCTGTCGCTCTGGTGCTCCGAGCTCATTGTAGCTTCTCCAGCGTCCGTGTTTTCCGCGGACTCAACGGGGAGAGGGTCGACTGGCTCCGGTCACCTACCGAGCATGGAACCGCGTCTTCGTCCACCGCTTTAAGACGCCATGGTGGTGGATCTTTAGCTGCATAGGTTTTTTTTTTTTTTTTTTTACGTGAGGCAATTTTTGTGTTTTGTTGTCAAGACTCGGCAGCGCCTTGTCAAGCTGAACGCGGTTAGATGAAATGTGACCGGAAGAGTGCGGCTTTAGCCTTCAAAATAAGAGCAAAATAGTTTTTTTTCCCACATGTCGAATCCTACGTGTGCGTGGTGAAATGAAATTAAACGCATTAAAACAATATAATAATATAATATAATATATAATAATCTATTCGTTTTAATTAGAATATTTTCTTGACGTGTTTGCGAAGTGAATTACATATCAACAAATCAATTCCCATCAATACATATCATATCTCGTGAATATATATGTGTACATATTATATATATATATTATATATATATATTGTGTATATATATTACAGTATGTATTTATGCACACNNTGACACATGTTTACATTATATCAATATTAATGTTTAATATCTATGTGTATATCTGTTATCATATTATATATACATATTATTATTATATTATTATTAATATTATTAATATTATCATTATATACTGTTATTATTCTTTATATCTTTCCTATCTAAGTATTTTATTCTATTGTTATATTTTATTGTATTTTAATGTACC